ACTGCTGAGGGGAGCAGGTCAGGAGAGGTCTGCCTGCCTTGTGGGTCATGTCTAGGTCCTGGAATCAAACTCGCACTGAAGTGGCTGTGGCTAGCTTGTAGTGCTGCGCTGTAACCCTTTGGGCTACCAGGGAGTGCCATAGCAGTGTCTTTTAAGGGACCTATGGGACCTCTGTTATGTATGTGTCTACTTACACTTATATTGTATAAATATTTCAGAATTTCATACCTGTGCCATTCTATGATACTGTTTTCCCTGAGCCCCAACTTCAGTAAATCATCATTTTGCCACTTTCTTCAGGTTAGACAAAACTCCTGCTGTCCTGTCAGTCACCAATGCTAGAAAAGTTAGCAAGAAAATGAAAGGGGAAAGTAAGTCATAAAGGTGCCAGTGGTAAGTTGTCAGTGATGAGCGTGGTATAGTTTAACTAAAGAAACCAATAGCCCAGCAACCCTTCTCAAGATAAGACAGTCTGTGAACAAGGCAAAAACATACGAGTGACCAATGTTCTGGACAGGTGTTCTGACTTAACTCCATAAATACTGTTTGTCTTAACTACTTCTACCTGCATGCTACCAGTGACTGGATCATGAAACCTTTTGTTTATTGCCTAAATGAAGGCAGATGTGTTAAAACTGTTCGAATTGCCATTTTTCTTGTGTAGCTATATTCCAAACACAGGTGAGAAGAGAAAAGAGAGATGGGAGCTTCAGTATGACCATTCACAGTCAAGTCTCCCACACAGACGTGATGCAAAATGCAATCTGTACATTATCTAACCCCTGCTTTTCATTCATTGTTTGCTTTTGATTTATTTTTTTAAAGATTTATTTATTTATATATACAGAACTGGGGTACATGCCAGAGGTGTGGGGGGTGAGAGGATTCACCAGAGACAAAGTGAGGAACAGAACAGATTGATTGAAATACACTGCTGAGAGGAGCAGTGGGCAGGTCAGGAGAGGTATGCTGTGCCATGTGGGTCACTGCGCTGGCCTGGGATCGAACTCTTGCTGCAACGGCTACTATAGCTTCATAGTATTGTGCTTTGACCCTTTGGGCCACCAGGGAAGGCCCTGCTTTTGATTTCTTAACACTTCACTCAAGCACACTATAAATATTTGTACCCCATGGATAAAACATGTTCTTTCATGACTTGTGTCATTAATGTCAATATTGAAGTGTGTCTAGTGCTTGTGTGTGGTGTGTGTAGTTGTTCTGCAACCATCCCAGGTCAGGTAGGTTCATCATTGTTTCATGCAACTTGAAGGAGAAACATGGAGCTTTGGCTGATGCCACAGGTTAGGGGAAACAAGCCAGCAGGGAGACAGCAACTTGGGCCCTTCCTCCTCTCCTCCCCCTTACCCCTACAAGCTCTTTCTGAGCTCTCTGACACTCTCTCGTGCTCTCTTGGATGGTTTCTACTGTATGGACTTCCCATCCTCTGCTGCCACCTTTCGATGCTCCCTCGCCAAGCTCAGGTGAGCCCACTCACGCACGCCATGACACACTCCAGGTGCCGCCATCAGGAGCACGTGTAAGCCCACAGGTGTCCACCGTTGATGCTAATGGCGGGAGGGTGGAAAAAACCTGATCACTTCCATTTACTCTAGAGCAGTGTATGGATGGGTATGTTCATATCTGTTTACATCAGTCAGGTCTTCAACAGAAAAGAGCACAGGGTCAGTGTTAATAAAGGATTAACACAGGTGTGTCCAGAGAGTCAGGAAAGCTGGAGGGAGATAAGGCAGAAATCCAGAGCTAACAGGAAGGGATCCACAGTCAGAACAATGGAACAAATGGAGAGAGCTTCTAATTTCTGTTATTTCTATGGACAATATATTCATGAGTTGCTTTTATAGTAAGAAATTAGTGCTTAAACATTAAAATAAAAGCAATGAGTAGGGATAGAAACTGCACTTGATTTTAGCCAAAAAGCTGAGAAATGATTCGAGGGATATAAACTATAGGAAAATATCATCATAGAAATATGGATCTTATAGTCTCAAAAGTCAAAGATTAGCTAATACCTGATACGGTTTTGTTTCCCTAAATAAAGGGCTGATATGTGAATATAAAATTGGAATTTTTTTTTTAAGAAACGATAACACCAAAGAAGAGTTCACTACACTGTCAACCAAAGTCATAGGTCCAGTTTGGGTGGGCAACAGAGATGAGAGCAAATAAATCCATGTTCTTCCACTCATTGGTTAGGCCACCATTTTGGTTGTGTTCCCAAGACCAAGCCAAATTTTATGGACTCATTATACTTATGAAAGGAAGTAGCACATTTTCAACATCAAAAAGGGCAGAGAAAGAAATGGGAAAGAATGCCTTACATTAATTATTAAGAGCCAACTGAATAATCCAAGCACTATTCACAAGGGCCCTTACAGGAATAAAACTGATGAAAACAAACTTTTCAGCTCATAGAATGTTGGCAAGATAAGTAAATGAAAAAGAGCCAGTTAAGTGCATCACATAAACACAAGGCTACAGTACCATCATTTGGATACTCTTAGAAACACTATTTAACAAGTAGCAAATATCAACAGGTTTAAATAATCAGGCCCATCCTGAATTATATTCAGCACTCTCATTGAAAAGGACTCTATTGAGGCCCTCCTTGGTGACGCAGTGGGTTAAAGCACAGCACTGAGAATCTAAAGCCGCTTTCCCATGAGTTCGATCCCCGCCTGCCCCGGAGGAGACCACATGGCTTGGCAGACCTCTCCTGACCCGCCCGCTGCTCCCTTCAGCAGTGTACTTCGTGGATCTGCCTGTCTGCTCCCCACTCTGTCCCTGGTGAATCCTCTCGCCGCCCCTGAGCCTCTGGCCTGTACCCCAGCCTGTACCCCAGCTCTGTATGCACAAATAAATACATCTTTAAAAAATAAAAAGAAAAAGAAAAGGACTCTATTGAAAAGGAGAGAAGAAAAAATAAAACAAAGTAAGCTGAAATCTTGCCAAGTAAACTACAATTATTTTAATTAAATTATCAATATAACTTCTGAGATTTTATATTTTCTCAATGTCAACTTTAATTAAATAGGAAGTTACAAATGCTGTTAAGGATTTCTGTAAATCTGATGTAATCTTCTTTAAATGGCGTCTTCATTATTCAAAAAAAAAAAAAAGAAGAAACCTACAGTCCAATGGCGACCTTTATAATGTCAATGAAGTCACAAATATTTGGAAATATACAAGTGCAGAATTTTAAAGCTCTGTATGTATGATGTGAGTCAGCAGTGTTCTTTTTAAATCAACAGATGTTTAATTCTCAAAGGCAGTCTCAAAGGAAGCAAATAAAAACACTGTCTTTATATTTGTCACCAGTTGATGATTTTGATGCCAACAGACGTGTGAAAAGTTTTTCTGTGAAACTTCCTGGAAAGCATAACCCTGGAAATTTTCTTCAAGTTTTCATTTTAATAATGGAAGATATTACACAGACTTTTGCAACATCATCACAGACATATGTTTTCTTTAATAATTTGTCTGTTATCCGTATGCCAGAGACACTTTGTAGACCCAGTTTTAGGGACAGGAGTGTTAGGGTAAAACAGAGAGATGAACGTGGAGGCAGATTTCCAAGATACTTTCCTGAACTTCCACACCAGCGAATAGAATCCGTATCGCCCATGTTCAAAACCAATTTCATTTTCTGATCACTGCAGTTGGTTATCTTACAGGTAATATAAAAAGGCTCTTCTAAAATTACAGTGTCTGGGATTGTCATCAAAGACAGCCTCAAGTTCCCATAACATGGAGCTTCTCTTTTAAGTTGGATAGTCTGTAACATTGCCTTTTCACCTAGATTTCTTTTCCATAGTATATTCAATTTTCCTATTTCTGTTAGTTCCCAAATGGTACTAACTTTTTCTGAAAATTCCTGCTTGAGCTGAAGGTGGTATAAATACTGGCGTCCTTCCATTGACTGCAAAAATGTTCTTGTTCCAAAGGTACACTCATCTTCTCCATCTTTGTTGACAGTATTTAACTCGGCTCCTGTGTACATTTCAGAGAGCTCTAAGGAAACCTTTTGTATAAAGACAGTTGAAGATAAAATATTCTGAATCTGGACTTCAAGAAATAACTCACTAATCTGTGAATTATCAAATTTTGTTTTAACTTTAAATGGTGAAAGGGAAGGCAATAAGCATAGGTTCCTTAAAAACATCTTTCCTCCACTTTGTGTTCAATAGGTAGATACCAAACCCACCAGGCTAAACTTCCCTGTGTCCATTACTGTGATAAGGATGACATCATCAATGCAACAATTGGATGCAAGTTCTACCACAGTAGCCATGGAGACCAAGAGATGTAAAGACTGAGTATTGGTTTGAAGTTCAGAGTTTCCAATATGATTTTTACCACTAAATTACAATTATTAGGGATTCTCAAAAATGTAGTTCTAAGGATTGATAGTTTGAGGGAATTCTTAAACTTCCATTCCAACATTGACATTTTTGATGGATGCCACCTGTGATGATGTTAGAGAAGTCACCAGGTAAGTCACTATATTCTCATGTGACTGAAAGTTTGTGAATCAACTTGAATGTCAGAATAACTTTCTGCCTGGATAGATTTCCCACCATTCTCATTATAATTTTGCCCCCTTTTAAAAAGTATTTGAGATTAGTTTTAATCATGTGTGATAAGACTAAAGACACAGAGACAAGTGCTTTTGAGAGTGTCAGGCCTACCTGGTGGCACAAGGGGTTAAAGCATAGCACTATGAAGCTATCCTCAGCACTGTAGTACTACAAGTTCAATCCCCAGCTAGGGGGAGGTGACCCACATGGCACAGTATACCTGTCCTGTCTCACATGCTTCTCCCCTCAGCAGTGTATTTCAGTCATCCTGTCTCTGGCGATTCCTCTCACACCCTGCACTCCTTGCCTGTACCCCTGTTATTGTATGCATAAATAAATATTTAAGAAAGAAAGGAGAGTTTCTTCGTTACATTTCCTGAGGAGAGGGTATGACACGCTACACAGGACCACATGGGGATGTACCAGGTTTGGTTAGCTGGCAGAAGCACCAAGGGTAAAGCATGTATGCAAGCTGTTATTTGGAAATTTAAATGAGGGCAGGATAAGCATTTGTCTAGTCTGAATAATGCCATGGATTCCTGGCAGTAAGGACACCTCTAGTTGCCTGATACCTGTTCCTGGTGTGATATTTTGTCAGGGACATAGTGGTTTGAACTGTGAGAAGTTCACATAGAAGGTAATTGGCAGATATGGAATCAAGAATAGTCAACTTGCATATAAAAAACTTAATTTATTTTTCCCACTGGTCCTTTATTTTCCTGTTATGACTGAAATCATCCTGTATTTTTCTTTTCTTTCTGGCTTATTTCACTGAGCATGATCCTGTACTGTTCCATCCATGTTGCTGCAAATGGTATGAGTTTCTCTTTTTTGATTGCTGAGTAATATTCCATTGTGTATATGTACCACATCTTTTTTAACCTTCCCAGTCTCTATTTTTGCGCATTTGGGTTGATTCCACATCTTCCCAATTGTAAATAGAGCAGCAATAAACATGGGGATGCAGGTGTCCTTTTGAATAGTTGTTTTTGTGTCCTTTGGGTAGATACTTAGGAGTGGGATTGTTGGGTCATATGGAGACTCTATTTTTAGCAGTTTGAGAAACCTCTAAACAGCTTTCCATAGTAGTTGTATCAGTTTGCATTCCCACCAGCAGAGCAGGAGACTACTTTCTTCTCCACATCCTTGCCAACATTTGTTGGTGCTAGTTGTACCATTCTCACCGGTGTGAAATGGTATCTCATTGTGGTTATAATTTGCATTTCCCTTATTACAAGTGATGTTCAATATTGTTTCATATGCTTGTTGGCCATCTGCAATTCCTACCAGAGACATGTTATGGGATAGGAAGGGGAGTGGGATCAGAACTGGGGTGGGAAGAGCACATGGGCACTATGGTGATGGCACATGGGCGAATTGGTGGTGGGAAGCCCATGGGGATTACAACTGAGATGAAAAGTGCACAAAATGAAGAATGATGTAAAAATAAATTTTAAAAGACTTTATTTAAAAAAAATAATATGTTTATTTTTACATCATTCTGTGCATTTTTTCATCTCAGTTGTAATCCCCGTGGGCTTCCCATCACCAAATCACCCATGAGCCTTCACCATAGTCCAGTGTATTTCCTTCCCCCATGTTTTTGATCCCATTCCCCACTCCACCCCCATAAAATGTCTCTGGTATATGGTTGTTCATTATTATTATTTTCTTCCCTTGTCCTTTATACTCCTGCTATGAGTGAAACCATCTGGTATTTTTCCTTTTCTTTCTGGCTTATTTCACTAAGCATGTTCTAAAAAAGACTTTATTTTTAATTGTAGCATATTGGGGTGCCCCAGTTGGTGTTATAACTACAGTGCAGCCTCAACCAAATCCCCCATAGTCTACTGAAACTGGGGGGCAGTCAGAAAGATGGTAGGATGGGATACATGGATAGACCATAATAGCCTATCCACCTGCCTGGGTGCTAAGACAAGAAATCCTACCAAAAAGCTTCTAAAGGCCAAAAAACAAAATCAGGGTCCCCAGTAGGGGCCTATGGGCTATAGCCAACAAAAGACAGTGCCCAATAGGACAGGTCACTGTCTGTGGGTTTAACCTACCTGCATACTCACAAGAGGCCTCAGGCTCCAGGAACAATAACCATAGGGTTTATTTTATAAGAAGGGGAAACAAAGAGCTTACTGTAAGTGGGTGTCTCTCTCACCCTGGTAGTGTCAGTGATGGTTATCACTGGTCACCAGTGATGCTGGACAGCACTGGCCAGTCGTGATTGTCACTACTGATCCACAGAGATGATGTCAGAGACACCCAGTGCTAACAGCTCTTTGTGAGGTGTTGGGCTATACTGACAACAAACAGCTCTTTGAGACACCAGGCCTGGAGCCTATGGTGCTCCTTTTAGGCAACGTCAGACCAGTGTCAGACAGGAGGCCCAGTCTCTGGCAAAGGTCTTCGGCTTTTCTTCCCTCCTTGGAGGTTGGCTGCTGGATGTTTTCTCCTTTCTTCTTTCAGCTTCTGGTCCTTATTCTTTTTTCTGCAGAAGCCAGGAATGGAATCTTCCTCTCTTTCTTCAGGGGCTGAAGCCATATTATTTCTTTTCTTTTCCTTTTCCATTTTTTTTACATTATTCTTCATTTTGTAAATGTTTTCATCTCAATTGTAATCCCCATTGACTTCTCACCACCACTTCACCCATGTGCCATCACCATAGTCTGATGTGCTCTTCCTTCCCCAGTTTTGATCTTGTTCCCCTTTCCTCCCCCATAGAATATATCTGGTTTATAGTTGTTAGTTGATGTTCTTTTTTACTTTATTAGATTACTATATATATGTCTTTTTTTTTTTCATGATTCCTGCTTTTTTTTTTTTTACACTCCTGCTATGGGTGAAACCATATTTTTTTTTTCTTTCTGGTTTATTTCACTGAGCATCATTCCTTCTAGCTCCAACTATGTTGCTTCAAAGAGTATGAGTTTATCCTTTTTGCTTGCCGAGTAATATTCCATTATGTATATATACCACATCTTTTTGATACAGTCATCTATATTTGGGCATGAGGTTTGATTCCACATCTTCCTATTGTAAATAGTGCAGCAATAAACATAGTGCAGATGTCCTTTTGAGTTATTGTTTTTGCATCATTTGATAGATACCTAGCAGTGGAATGGCTCGATCATATGAAAGCTCTGTTTTTAGCAGTTTGAGAAATCTCCAAACAGCTTTCCATAGTAGATGTACCAGTTTGCATTTCCACCAGCAGTGCAGAAGAATTCCCTTTTCTCCACATCCTCGCCAATATTTGTTGTTGCTTGTGGTGTTCTCTTACCCTGCTGCTCCACTGCAAGTCTGTTGTGGCAGCTGCTCCTCAGAGCTCTTTTATGCAACTGTGTATTTCCTGGATCATGGAATGTACCAATCAGGTGTGAGCTATGAGCTAATTGGTGCTGCTGCTCCTTGAGTTGACTCAGCATAAAACCAATAACATATATATTTATGTTTATGACTTTCTTGTCACCTTACTTCTATCTTCCAAAATCTTGGAAAATTCTCTTTTGTGGACCACCCCAAATGGAATGGTCCAACATGTGGAAGTATGGAAAATGTAAATTACCCTGTCAAAGTTGATACATCATAAAAATTCACTCTTGCCAACACAGACATTTGGAGCATGAGCCCATTAGGGAATAGAATAAGAGGCATAGCTTATGAAAAATTCTGACTGATATTCACAGAAGGGTCATCCTATTTACTTGCTTAGTGAAGACCTCCTCTGCAAAAGTCATTCTTGGGTGAACAGGTACACCTGACATGAGTATCTTCACATTCTTTGCTGATTTAGTGAGTTCACATATCTGTTACCCAGACTTCCTCATTTCCAGTTTTCCAATCAAATACTTTTAAGTTTCAAACCAAGCATCCAGCAACAACATTGGCCACAGTTAGTGAATTGCTCTGGCTCTTTCCTTTGGCATATGTGCTTCTAGGTAAAGTGAAAAAGCATTTGTACCACTCACAGCTCATTTAGGGTAGTGTCCAGATGGGCTGGTGTGAAATAGTTGTCTACTTTTAGGACTTTCATTTATGTTACTGTAGATCCATCTGCAAATTGGGGAGAGTTTTTGCTTCCTCAATCAGCTAACCATAGGTACAGATTGAGAGAGTGAAGATAAAATAGCAGTAAGGGACTATGGATAATAAGGCCACTTCATGCAATTTATTCATGTTAAGGACCTGCTCAAACTTCATTTCCTATACAACACCTCCACTTAGTAATTTAATGCTGTTGTGCACTGGCAATTCTTTCTTTAGTCACACAAAACTGAGATTGTGATAGGTGACATGTCATATGGTATCTTTTTCTCTCATGGTTGAGTGTTCAGTCTTTACAAAAGTCCAGTAGCAACACAAAAGTTGCTTATCAAAAAGAGAGTAATTCTCTCTCAGTAGCGTTTCCCTCTAAATTTTGAGTCTGCTATTTACCTTCATGGTCTCCAAATGCTTCAAACAGTGTTTCTACATGCCACTGATTGCTTAACATCATTCTATGTCTGGCTCAAATGACCCAAGTGGCAAGGCAGTTTCTATGGTAACCTGGGTCTGTTGCAAGATTTCCACATATTCTGGGCTAAATCAAAATAATCATTCATGAGTGGTGCCACGTCCCCTCCCGCGGCGCCTAAGTGAGAAATCCTTAGAGCTTGGCACGGTCAAGGTACCAGGCACATGGGAGGAATACGTGGCCCTCCAA